TGCCCGGTATTTAGGGTTACGAATAAATATGCTGATATTTAAAGAGGTAACATTTTCTCTATTCGAAAGTATCTAATTGCTAATTATAACCAATAATTGACGACATAATGGGTATGCAACCACTATACGTCCCACAAGAGGGAAGATTCGTTGCTCCTCCAATAATCATTAACTCACAGTTAGGGAAAGGGAAAACACCACTCCGCGTTATTTTGGAACTCCGTTGGGAGATTGAATTTAGAGCCCACTTTAAACACCAAATTTACTTCATTTTCAATAATAAGTTAGTGGAGTTTGATTCAGATAAAGCTAAAGCATTGGTTTTCGTTATATGTCAGTTATTCAACATTATGACCAGAGAACCCTTCCCTTTGGCTAGTCGCACATTAAACTACAGGGGAGGTCATCTCCTTGGTCTGAAACCCACCATATTGTACGGTCTTTTGGGTAAATTACGAACTACATTTGGGTGGGATTACTCACATATGAATCTCTTTAAAGAAGGAAAAGCAGTTGTCTACTCAAACATCATCAACCCAAAAGTTTTTCCATTAAATAATCACGGCATACAATACTTACCACAAAAAATCACTACCGAGGTTACAATTTTGATTCTTGAAAAGAGTACCGTACCTTTGGCCCTTTACTTAGAGGAAGGTTTCAAACAACCTTATATCCTCTTGGAGTGTAAGGGAAATGCCAGTGGAGGTGCTTTGAAATTTGTTTCGGATATACAAAANCTCTTGGAGTGTAAGGGAAATGCCAGTGGAGGTGCTTTGAAATTTGTTTCGGATATACAAAAGAATGTGGAAACACATTTATTGTTTTTGGCTGATTTTGACCTGAGTGGTTTGAATAGCTACAAGATTTGGAAACAAAAAACAAGTACAATAAAGTACCTTAAAATCAATGATCCAACATTTGTGGCATCCGATGACTTCATATTACCAGAAGATGAGAAGACCAAATTGGAAAATATTTGTCAATCAGAAGAAGACTTCCCCCAGTTCATCAAAGATTATGCAGAGCAAATTCATAATTCTGGGGTTCGTGTTCATNAGAAGATGAGAAGACCAAATTGGAAAATATTTGTCAATCAGAAGAAGACTTCCCCCAGTTCATCAAAGATTATGCAGAGCAAATTCATAATTCTGGGGTTCGTGTTCATCTTGAAAAGTACGCCAATCTTTGTTCTCGAGTGATTGATCTCTTGAATGAAAATACTTGGATTGAAACAATGGATAACACACCAGTTGTATTGAATTTGTCATAACATAGTACCGTTGCTACCAACTGCCATCAAGCAGAAGTGTTGGTTATATAGTTTGGGAGGTGGAAGA